TATAAATTGTATTAAATTGAACGTATACCAACCATTAATTTGCAAGTATATAGACACTTATTTGAAATAATAGTTGAAATATAAACTTTTACACATATTTTAAAATTGATTCAAATGACATTATTAAATACATCAATGATAATTTTTTTAAAAACAATTGAATTTATACCTTAAATCGATTTACCTAATTGATTTATCTTTAATAAAATCACTTTATCTAGTTGATTGTTTTGTTGAAACTTTTAATATTCTGATTAGCTACTGAACTTCTGGAATAGTAAAAACTTAAATTGTAAATGTAGACTTTAAAGATAAATTTCATATCAACTAAATCATATTAAGACACGCTTTATAATATATTTATATTTCGACTAAAAATACATTTATATTATAATATTGTATGTATATTTAGACGTGCGGTAAAGAATATTTACGTTAGAAACCATAACATGAATAATAATTTTACAAATTATTTTAGATATATTTTTATTATTATTATTATTATTATTATTTATTACCTGAAGCTTTTGACATAGAAATATAGTTACTTTATTTTTTCAATGAATAAGAGCAGGAGCACTGTGTTATGAAAATAATATTATTCAAATGTAAACTTACTGGGTCTCAATGGGTAACAAAAGGATTTCTCTTTTCTGTATTCAACCGGGTACTTAAATATACGCGAGTGGAGTCGCGTGTTAATGCGCACATCACATAAGATATGTATAACAGACAATCGCACATTCTCATCAAACGTTTAATGAATTGTTAATAATAACATATATTATTCGTGGGATTCGACAATCATAACTTTGCTTATTTATTTATAACACAGTTAATAACATACGAACACCTGTAATGGCACAGCGTTTTAGAAAGCATATAAATCTGTGTGAGTATGTGGGTGAGTGTGTCTACAGGTATGGTGTTTTCGAAATTATACTACGTAATACAGTTTTATAAGATTATCGTCAAAAACAATTTTTACAGTAGAATGTTTTATAAGAAATTTTGTAACGTTTTGGAACCGGTATATTTTTATCTTTCCAAGGAGCACTTTTCACATTTTATGTGTTAAATAGCCATTTTATTCTGATAGTATTTATTGTTCATTTTAAAATGTGAATTATATTATCCATAAAATAATGTTAGACCATGTAATATTTTAATGTACACAACAGTCAATAGGTTTGAAGGTCTATAAGTATAAATAAATGAAAAAATATTAATTTTAATTAGAAAATGTCCAAGAATTAAATTTATGCTCAATACTAAATCCTAATAATTTAATTTGTTTTACTTGTAAAGGATTATAAACATCAAAATGGAATCATATACATTATATGCTACGTATGTTGTAAAAACCATTTATTTTACGGTAATTAATGACCATATTGTTGACATATTAACTTGAAGATGTCATAAATGAGATAACTATAATGAAATATATATAAAAAAAAACTTAATCTATCTTCGTCCAATGTAAAATGAAATAGATGAGTACAAACTTTTCGGCTTATGGTACTCAAACATTTTTTCTCTGAAATTCGTAAGTATTATTTTGATTACAACTCGATCTAAACGTTTTTTCAACGTTCTCTAAGTAAACAACCAAATTATATCCAACGATGGTATTGTATTGTACTTCAATTAATCGTCGTAAAGAATGTATATTCCAATAGATAAGAAGATATTTTACAATTTTCTGTACAGAGAGGGTCGATCGAAAAAACACGTGGTATTGTGTTATTATAATTGCTGAAATAGTTATACATAAATAAGGGGAAGGGAAAAAACGAATATAATAATAATAAACTCAATAATAAAGGCTTTTGTCCGATAGGATCATTCTTAAAAATATTGTATTTTACCACAATATACAGGTGCGACGCGGCGCTGAATTCATTCCCTCCGGCTCGAATAGTATAATTGTGGTGATAATTTCGAAAATGGGATGATAGTCGTATATTAAATGATAATTTTTATTTTTTTTTATTATTGGCTGTGATTAAAAGACGACGCATATATGCATATATAATATATACAATTGTGTGGTTACGCTGGTAGTGCAATAAGTGTAAAAATACTTATATAGGATATGCTATCCACTCCATATTTAACATGAATATTCATTAGTTTCCTTCTCACTGTGAGCCACGAAGAAACTTTTCGACTAAGAATATTTACATATTTTATTACATTTTAAATGCTCCTTGTATTACTTACTTAACGCCGCCGCCGCTCGTAAGACGCGTGCAGGGGACCATGCGATGGACGTCGGTGTCGATGGGTTATATAAACGTCACCCCCCTCATTTGGTGGAAGGGTAGCGCGTGAAACTTTCCAAATCGTTATTCATATATTAATAACGGCGATTGCTAATGTTTAAAATGTAAATCTTTTCGACGGATTTATTATGCAGTGTCGCCTCTTAATACCGATTTGTTGTTTAGTTGGATATCAAACTGCGGTTTACACAAAAGACCGACTGCACCCTTTTTTCACGCATATTCAAAAGAAAAATACCTCTAACGGAGGAAGAAAAAGAGTTAAAGGAGTTTTACTATTGTTATCGCCAAAAATATAACCTACATTTCTCATCGCGTTCATGTGTCAAGTGAAACATTTAAAATCTATATGAATGTCTATACATGGCGATGAAAATAAAACGTTTATGGTTTTTTCTTCCTTTTTAATTTTAGAAATGTGTCGGCAAGTGACCAGTACGATTGACTAAAGTTGTATGAAAATTATCTAAAAACCGTGGTAATATATTGAGAAAAGTGTATAATATACATACCTCGTATCGAACGTATGGTTTTTCATGTTGTCAATTGTACGAGTACGTCATGTCAGTGTACAATTCCAAGGCTATTGTGATTTTTACCTGATGTTTGTATTATCAATTTGAAAAAATAAAGTTCAGCATTCAAACCTTAATCATAAAACTGTTCCTCTTTTGTACCCGACACCATGAATAAGCTATTTGCGACTTTGATCATATTGTTCTCTATTTCTCTTCCCTTTACCCAAATAGACAACTACTTTTTTAATACTTTTCTTTTTTAGACTACATCACTCTTGACACGAAATTTTTCCTTAACTCTCGTTCTACTCCTATTGTCCATTCTCTCATTATTTACATTTATATCACTGGTTTCCTAATTTAAAAAAAAAAAAAAATCTTCTTGATAACCATCATATTTAGAATTTTAATTGACCCTCTGATTTATATTATAACTATTTTGCTTTAATATTTAATGATAAAAACTATTAATAAAAAAAAAACTATAGTCTATTTAGCTATTTAAAAAAAATAAGACAATTATAATTTATAATATTCTGTATTAATTTTATAATGTTTCAAGAATAATTATGCAGACATACGAAAACGGAAATATATTTACTAAATATTTAAAATGTTTCATTGTGTGTCATGTTATTACACAAGTTATATGTTAATGTTAAATTTATTTTATTTTAAATGTTATACAGTTTCTAGATTAAATCATTATAGTTCTACAATTATATTATACAAAAATGATGTAATTTTAATTCAACATTGAAAGATAACAGTATAATATAGTCGTATGATGATATCAGCAGTCCATCGTATGACAATATTAGTACTTAATTACATTGATAAAGAAATATAATACGGTTAAAGAAGAATAACCAATGACTACATAAAAACCAATATTGTCGTAGTGTAGTTGTTTGGTCAAGATAATTTATTATGCATAAATGTACAATTTTCAAACGGTTTTTTTTTATTGCTCGGTAAAAAAAATAAGGTGTTCAACCATACAAAAACATTCTTAGGGTGTTCTTACATACTACATACGTAAACATTTAACATTATAATTTATTATCATCGAAAAAGTTGAACATACATTTGTGGTGTATCTTATGTTTTTCAAATTTTAAACTCAACGCTTTGAAGTAGGTAAAATGTGCATTAATTATTATTATTTTACTTTTCTTATTATCATTTGATCACATTTAAAACGTATTTTGTTGTTATCGAGTTCGTTGTATTGACGAAATTACTTGCGATTGTTAAAAGTATATAATAATATCGTAACGGTCGTAATTAAAAAAAAACGTGTACACGAAGTTTCATATCGTAAATGTGCGCTGCAGCACAACATTGTTTTGATCGATTGAATTTTTAATACCAAAAATTGACGAAAAAGTAAAAAAAAAATATAAATATAAACTATATATAAACTTTTTAATCTTTTTATTCACAGTATCCACACTACCACAATATAGAGCTTGACTTACTATGTTCTTGCAAATTCCAAACTATATAAATAACCACATTGTTAACTTTTAAACTTTCTCTATTTCGCACGCAATTACGTGCAATATTTTAGCGAAAAACGTACTGCGAAATGATGTAATTTTATCTTCAGTAATTTTAATACGGGTTTTATGGAAACCACCAGCAGCAGGATATGTATATTTATGATATTATTTTTATCTCGTAATGAAAATCGTTTACGCATTATATATATATGTCGTATATAAACTTTGTACAAAATGTAGTTTGTGTATATACTGGTATATTATATTTATGTATAGGTACCCGTCGTATAACATTCAAAAAAAAAAAGTGTTTAAAAAGTTTAAAAATCGATCGAGAAGACATTAAACATTTTTTAAATATTATCAACTGTTTGACATTTCTTAAGTGGTAAAAAGTTGTGCTATGAATGTATAGAGTTTTAAAATTATTATAATTTATATGTTTCCTCTCGTATCGTAATTTTGTTTATTATTATTGATAATCAGGATTAAAAAAAAAAAAATCTACAAACATTTGCGTCAATAGTTTGGTGGCATTGTCTAAATTATTAAATCTCTACACCCATAAATTAAAACAATTTAAGTTCTAAGTTTTACTGATGATAGTATACTCTGATACTCATATACTTACATACTATAAAACTTTACTGTGATACTCATAAACATTATTTGATGCGATTTTTTTTTAGTTAATTTCATCGATGGTGAAGTATTGCATATCACGAGAGTGAGTAGGCTCCACATGGGTGCTTACTTGTGTATAGCCTCGAACGGTGTACCTCCGTCCATTAGCAAAAGAGTCACGCTCAAAGTCCAATGTAAGTATATATAAATCACAAATAATAAATTACCACTTAAATGGAATTTTATCGTTCGGCGAAAAGTAAACCTTGTTAGTAACATATACTGCACACAAACACACACACACACACACATTTATATTAAACCATTAAAGTAAATAGACTGTCATTAGTGAATTAATTTTAAATAGTATACTATTTGAATACCAAATTTTAGTAAGGTGGTCCAGTTTCATTTTATTTTTAAGTCTGCTCAACAAATACAATAAAAATCAATAATGAAAACCACAAAAATAGGTATACTATAATGTACTACTCTCATTTCCCCAAATCAAAAATCAGAAGGACCGTCATGTTAAGATATATTGTATTATTTTATTTTATTTTTAAAAACAATGCTATTGTATCGATTTATATATTATCTTAGATCACATACAAAATACAGAGTCGGTAGCCTTCGTTAATAAATATATATATATATATATGTATAATCAACATAATAACTTATATTACAATAAGACTCATTACATCTATGAATTTTTTTGGATACGTTTCGACAAATGTTTTCGACAGTAATTTAATTGTTTTAACGTGATGTATTACGGTATGAGCATGATAATATTACATACTCATGGACCAACTATCAACATTTTTTTAGTATAATAAATTGTATCAACTGTTAAATATTCCCATACGTTATTCACGTTATCGTCGGGAAATCCTAGTCGAAACATTTTGACGATGACTAATTGGACACTAATTCCACACATTGTGTCTGACACAATACATGCTGCTAATGCGGTGCCAACTTGTAAATGTGTATACTGCGAGCGTGGGACGTTTTGTTACAGTTCCACCGATGTTGACCATTTCGAATCAACTGGTGGGTGGCTACGTCGGACAGGATATCAAATTGGAGTGTCACACCGAGGCGTTTCCGACGTCCATAAACTTTTGGACCACCGAAAAGGGTGACATGATCGTTTCGGGTAAGTGAATATTCACGCGATAGCGGGATTGTGTAAAAAATGAACAGAAGTAGATATGACGGTTTCAGGGGAAAAATACGAGGCCATATCTACTGATAACGGATACAACAAGTACATGATCCTTAAGATTAGAAAATTGTCGCCGCAAGATTTTGGGTCTTACAAGTGTGTGGCGAAAAATTCGCTGGGCGAAACCGATGGATTCATTAAACTAGACCGTAAGTAATATATATACTATAGTTTTGCTTTTATACATTTTTTAAAATGAACTAATTCCGTTTTCGTGTCACCGCGAGAACATTTATTTCATTGGTGTAACTTATGTAATATTGATATATTGTACTACTTTCTAATTCTTCTTATTTCAGTAAAATATTATTTTAAAATTTGCAACGAAATTTAAGAATAGATTAATAAAAACGTCACCCGACAGAATTTTATCTCTACCCTGCGTTGGCATGGTTTGATCAGATGTGAAGGTGGATCCAAAACTTATTAAATAGGTTCATTCCATGTACTAAAACTTTTTGCAATAGGTTCACTAATATTTCGAATTAATTCCTCTCGTTAAATAATCCAGATAAATTTACAATTATTAATTAATGGTTTTGAAATTATTTTCGAAAAAATTTGTGTTTCGTGTGACGGTAGAGAATCCCGTTATACAGTGATGTGGGTCACTGAGTGTGATTGGTGCGTTTGCGTTATTTGAGGAAGGAACTTTGAACGATTTCATACAACGGTTTTCGGTCAGTTATGTAATAGCACGTCCAACTTAATATATAGAATGATATTGATCATTTTGTTCAATTTACTATTAAAAATATTTTTTGTTTCTGATTTTTCACTGTTTGGCGCACAACATGAATTTATGTGATCCGTATCCCAGTCGTGAGAGGCACGCGTTTGCACGCCCTAAATCACACAGTGTAGCACTACATGTATTTATTTAAAAAGTCGGGAAAAAATCTGATTCACTGAACGAAGCGATTAACTTAATTCCTCGTATTATATATTTGAATTATAAATAAATATTACGTTGCTTTTAACGCGTACGCGATGATCTATGTCGAAAACATTTGATAAAAATTCTCAGTTACTTGGCTGAACAAATATATAAATACATATATGTTTAATATGTGTTCGGTATAACATGTGTAGGCACTCGCGTTCCGTATCAACGACACGAAGTTATAGTATAATGTGCGAACAGCGTGGCACGTAACTAAGTACCCTAAGTATTTTACCGGTAAAGTAGTTTGAAAATATTATTTTTTTTTCTACATATACGCGCACCGAACTTTTTCCTGCGAGAAGAACGGAGTCGAGTAAATGACCCGACGACTATTCAGTACATTATACGGATATCATACGCATCCCGTATGCGTGCATACAATACAAATAATAGTGCTCTACATGCATGCACGTACACGCTGGATTGGTGAAATAGGATATTTTTCTACCTATTTCATGAAATCAACAACACAATCGTTGGATACGTGAATCCGGAAATATTCCCACCGATTTCACGAATTGAACAAACTTTTTTCTTTCATTTCATGCTATCCTATACTTTCAGTTCCCTATAGTTACCGAATACGTGAATTTAAATAGACCGATAATCATTATTAGGTTATGTCATGAATTTGTGGGCCGGTTTCGGTAATGGATAAAGGGGGGGGGAGGGTTCAGGAGGTCAACTGACCAGCAGTTAATATTTGTTGACAAAATTAACCCCTTGAAGACTTTTTATATTTTATAATATAAAATAAATATACTCGTAAATAAATGTAGTGCCGACTATAGGTTGAAGTTAATACTAGACTGAGGTAAATTCCCCAGTTACTACCCTCCAAATAACGCCACTGGTTTAATTGTATATCACAGTAATACATCATTATGTCGGACCCCATGTAAGATGGAATCCTCCATAAAATGAAATAATTATTAATGTTTTCAATGATAATTATAACACAAATTATATGATATCATATTACAGTTTTTTAACTGTAGATCTGCCTTTGGCCGGTATATTGATGAATTCCATAGGCATAGCCTAGAGAACGCCCAATGATTCCGCGGACTCATATATGGTTTTGATGATAATCATTGATCCTGTTCTAGACATCTTCACTTAGAAATGTATACCCGCATTGTTTGTTATCGTGGATAGTTTTTATGTTATAGATCTATACCTAGTTTTATATTATAGATCAGGGATGTTAAACCCATGGCGTGTAAAATAATTTTGTGGGCAAACGAAAAATTAAAATATTTATATTATGTTTATATATTTAATAATAAATTTCAACATTACATTTTACTAACTTTTTATTATTGTTGACGTCTTTCGGAAAATTAAATTATAGGTTCGTTTGGAATGTAGATGACATACTAAACATACAATGACGCAATGTAGTAGCATCATCAATTTTGTCTATTTTTTCATAAACTCATCCACGTGAGTCACTATTTTCAAAATTTAATTTTATAAAATCTGGTTCTATAAACCGACTGGCTGATGAATGCAGTGCCACGTGTATTTTAAATGTTACTAATTACAAATCAAATATCAACGAATTGGCAGTTGAACAAAAGGGATCGGATTAAGATGATAAATAATAGCAAAAGTAATGTAATTGTATGTTTACCTATATTTGAATATTACATTTTTTATAATAGTAAATTAATAATAAATATATCCTTACAATACATATATATATATATTCATATATTATTTTTGTAATATTTAACGGCAAAATTGGAGAAAAAAAAAAATTCGTAATTTTTGGCACATCAAAAAAAATTTGCCGCCCTTAATGTACTGATTGTAAATTGGCGTATTTTGCTAACCGGCGATCGTTTATAGTTCTTACAGTACCGCGTGTGCACTCGTGTTTAGCGTGTACGATTCAGGGTCGTGAATTCGTATTTCGGGCTCGCGATAATCTGTGCAACAGCGCGTCGAGCCGGGCGAAATCCCTCGGTTTATTATTCCGTGTACAAGACGTACTCGCAAACAGACGACAGGCGCACGAGCCAAGACGTACCAGTGCACGCGCTATGCGGAAGAGCGTTGTTCTCCGAACGCGTTTTGTTTTTATTTTAAAATCGCCAGGCGATACCCAACGTAATAACACGTGCCCGAGTGACTGTTTCACTGAGGACACGTCGTCGCACAAGAGATATTTACAAAAGGAACATCGATCATACGCCCGATGTTATCAGTGTTGCAGCGGCTCTGAAGGAAAGGATATGGTCGGAAAATCATCCGCCGCTCGTGTCTTATTCGACGGCGACAACGCAATAGGAGGTAAAACTCGTCGCGAGTGGAAATAACATTCGTTTTGCCCCGTTCAACCGGGTCCTGCGGCAACGACGAACATCGTATTACGGCAGTGCACGATGTACACGCGTGATACTATTCAACTGTCAGTCGTCGTCGCCATCTCCGTTTGCATATTATGATATATTTGAATAAAATGGATATTATCCTTAAATATAAATACGATATGATAATACTATAGTGTCGGGGCGATACGGGGCTAGAACGATTTTGGATTTTATCTGGAAAAGGTGTGGAATTCCAGGTAAACCGATTTCTTTCATTTACGAGCCATTTGGAGTAACAACATTACGCCGTAATCGAAAACCCGCGATTAACATCGTTTCGGCACTACCCGGTACCTACACAGGCGTGCTCGGGTACCACTCGAAGTATTGTAAATGGTGCCCAACGATTTAAGTCTTATAGTAAGGAGCCCTTAGTTTAACCGATTTAGCTCAAATTAAATGTAATTAATTATCAAACATTTGGTAAAAAATAAACATCGTTTAATAATAAAAAAATTAAACTAAATTTTCTAAATTTTCGTGAAAAAGCTTCTTATGATAATATGACAGTTACAATTTACTACAAAAGTACAAATAGTAAATAATTCAAGGTATCTAAGAAAAATATATGAGATTCAAAGAAAACATATTTATTGGGACAAATGTACCACTATATCAAATAAAAAATGTTTATTTAACTATTTATACGTTATAATTTATTGAATAAACCAACACGTGATAGGGCCCAAAATTATTGCAGACCATGAAATATAGCATGCACACGTCTACGGGTACGCATAATGTCACATAATGCACAAGAACGCGATTGATGGGGATACAAAAAAATAAAACAAAATCGAATATTTCCGTGCCGAGCTCATCGATATAACATTTAAAAACCAGACGATGGCTAATGTTTCGCATTCTACCGATAGGCTGCGTCCTTGCCACGGAGCCGAACGTCATCACCCATAGGTTGTCACTGCAGGTTAACGAAAACGTACGTCGGGAGTGTAGAGCCGTTTTCCGTACCAGATGCCGACGTAGTTGTCGACCGGATCACAAATCTGGGACGTTGCTAGAGGCTGTTTATTCTCTAGGGTGAAGGAGAGCGCGCACTGTGACAGGAGTACAATGTAACGCGCGCCACGCAACCGTGCGCGATGTTTACAAAACCACGTGACCCAATCGGTATCAATGTACGCCATAAGGGTTTAAAATAAATATTCCGGGCCACTCAGGGATTTGTCGTTCGGACGTTACCTCTTAGCGCGGACCACAGCCAATACGTGCAGCCTAATGACACAACAATAACCTCGATTCTCGTCATCGGGTCCCGGCGGCTCTGTGTAGTATTATACCGTCGCAATTCCGCGAGCGACGACCCCGACACGTAATCTCTATGTCTCCCCTGCCGTTTTCTGCATTTGTTGAACAGATTAGAGGAGCAGATTATAACGTTGTAAACGTTTACTCACGAGACCAACCGCAATGGCCGTCGTCGTGGTTTTCTGCGCGCCACGTATCGGACGAACCTACAAAAGTACAGGTGCACGTCGTGTTGACGTCTTTTTTTCGAGCGGTGACTTTCTTTTAAGTTTTTCATTTTTTTTTTTTTTCTGTAATTCTTGCACTATGCGGTAAGTTTTTATACCGGCACTGCTGCGTAACAAGTCGTTAATGTTTAACGAGACGGGTATTACTCGCGCGTAGATGTATTTGTCAGATCCATGGAAGCTCCGATGTAATGTAAATTTTAATTTTTTAACATCGTTTTTACTCATGTTCCATGTTCTAAAACAAAAATCCGGGTATATTGATGCTCTTAAAAATGCATTTGTGAGTTGAAAATCACAAAATAAAAGTATAAATTTGAATAAAAAGGCCTTTAAGATTGAAATTATTTATTTATTTGTTTTTGGATATCATGCTGATTTTAATTTCAAAATGTATCGACTAAGTAATTAAGAAATGTTAACTGTACCTTGTACGAAACATAAAACATATCGACAAATGCTCTAGAAAATAAAAATCTACATTGTTTCCATAGAACATAGGAATATATTACTTATTTAGTTTTTGAAAATCAAAAAAAAAAAAAAAATACATAAATTTCCGCGCCATTATATTAAATATTTGCAAAGGAATCGTCTCATGACTTTTTTAAATTTTGACACCCATAATATGGTTACATACACTCACCATTGTTGAATATTTAATGAGTGTCAAATGTGTGTTTTACAATGGACGATAATATTAATACGGGTTAGGTCGGGTGTTCTCTACACCTACTGAGCGTTTATGTTATATCCAAAATTATGTATCACCGTTGTAAATGTCTTGTTATAATAATAATTTATATTCAATGTCAAATCGTATAATATTCTGTTGCACCATGATTCGCTAATTAATTTGAAATGTTAGATGGTCATCAAGGTGGAAAATTATCAATTTACCTGCTATATTATTTCGCATTTGTCGGGACGAAAGTTAATTCGAGATAACATTCGCATTCATCGCACGGCGACATAATTTCCGGATTTGTCGACGACGATCATAATAAATGCCAGCCGGCGCGATGATGGCACTCTTACAATTTAAACGAAAACTCGACAAATTATTCCAGTGTAATATTGAGAAAGCGTGACTTTGTGAATGTTTGACATGAACTTGTACAAAATACATGTTTCGTACAATCACTGCAGCTTTGAAAACTTGTGAATGTGTGCGCCAGTTTTAATTATTATTTCGAATACGCTGGTCACGAGAAACTAAATATTTTAACGAAAAACAGCACAAAAAACTGTGCGTGTGTACGATTGTTCATGTTAAAACAAATGTGAATGTAATAAAAATAATTTCATTAGTAGTACACTCTGTATGTATTCAGTGTAAGTCATGTGTGTTAGATGTAGTTTCACGTATCTATTCATAGAATTATTAGAATTTATCTCTTTGTTTGATCAACGAACATGCTTCCAAAGGTTGAACCCATATTCTCAGTAAATGCCTTTGGGAAATGTACATGATTGATGATCTAATACTAATATTTAAATTATACGAATCAAATTAAAAGTTCTACTTGATTGAAATTGCAATTGAATTTGCAACCATGGTTGCTTTTTGAATTGTTTTAAATTATAAATCATCATCGATGTTCAGTAAATAGAAATTTCGAACATCAAATTTTGTTTCTGTGGGTTCAAAAATTTTTTTTTAGTTTTGTTTTTTCGTGAGGTATATAAAAAAAATGTTATTTTACAAATTATATTCATCAAGATTTTAAAAATAATTGAGATGTGTGATTAAATAAAATCTTATAATTATAATATTTGCATCCTACGTCTGCAACACTGAACATAAGACAATCACATTATCTTAACATGATAAAAAAAATAATAATAAGAATAATAATAATGAAATCTCCCTTTATGGCGCAGTACAACATTAATGTAGCAATAATAATAAATTGAGTAGGTGATTCTATAGTGTACACCATAATCGAACAAAATAATCAACACAGTAATATTATTTAATACGATGATAATATATGCTTCAGTTGGCGCACATCGATGATAATATAAAATTATTATATAATAGAACTTGGAGGATGCAATAATAGTAATCCGGTCGATTATACCAAGTGATAAGTAGTGCATCTACCTTAAACTTGCGATTATAGAGCTACGCGTAACCGGGATCCGTAATTATAATGATACTGAAACAATTAAAAATACAGCAACGACGTCGCATGCAAACATAATAAGACCGATAACCGTACCACCACGAAGGAATGAAGGACCAATGAAATAAACAGCAACGGTATGGATACAAGTAACCAAAATTTCCATGCTTTCCAGAAACGAATTTTGGTAATTGATTCACCTCAAACTAGGAAAACTACTATGGTTCGGTAAAATTGCCAAGTTCTTAAGTGATAACAAAAAATTTGAAAACCTTGAAGTACATGACGTTGATACGTTCGGCGGTCTTATATGGTTCGAAAATATGGCCGCTAAGAAGACTAAGAGGAAACAATGTTTTTGGAATTTAACTTTTTTTAACTTTTTTGGAAAAATGTTGAATTCAATAATTGTGAAAGATGTTTGGATGATTGAACCGGAGAGTGAAGAAAAAGACATTATCGAAAATTGCATAGATATTTTCTTCGCGTTACCAGTAAAAATTTCAGTTAGAACTTAGTTATATTTCTTCTAACTTAAAATAGGGAAGTATAAATGCATTGTTGAAACAGAGATCAGTAATGAGAACCAAATACGAACCAGCAGGAAAATTACCCTTAAAAAGACCTCGTTTAAGTAAAGCTAGAGACGTGAAAGTGGTAAAATATAAGGTATAATGGAGAGGAGCAATGGAGAACAAAGACAGATGAAAAAATATATAATTAGTGGGCTGATATTGAAGGCTGTCATCCCATGCAAGAAAAATTAAACAAAAAAAAAAAATAAAAAAAAAAATAAATAAACTAAAAAAAAGTATTACGCTGGTCAACATAATGCTTTGCACAATATTTACCAGTAGGTTGATTCATAAGACAAAGACAAAAAAAACCCATAAGTGAAAACGAGGTTTGAACAAAATGTGAACCGAAAGTGAAGACGGGTGGTTAAACGATATAATATGGTGTTCACACGACTACGGACAATACACGAGAGAATAATATGACTCCGACTACATGACTCACGTGATGGTTACAGTCACCGGACACTATTTTACGAAAAAGAAAACTTTTTAAAGCTACCGTGACAATACTAAGACTGGTGAAACTTTTTATGTATGTATATATGTAACTTTTTTACACTAAGATATACGATTTTACATTTTTACCGAAACCTAATTCACATAATACGGAAATATTGATTAACGAACGTAATTATGCATGGTGATAGCATGAAATCAAATGACAAGAACATCGATATTTAAATAAATGTCGTTTACGGCAGAACAGTTTGGATACATTTTTCTGTATAATTTTTAATATATTATTTATGTAAAATAAAATAGAAATTTATTTTGACTAATATTTATATTAAATATATTTGTTGATCGATGTTATCAATCAAGTTCTATTCTAAGTTATATTGATTTTTTTGAATATGTGTAAACAGTAATGAACAAAGTGACAATTTATGTATTTCAAATATTTTGTATAAGAATTTAACTATCGTTATTTTACGAGTACACACTGGCGAATTAAAAACTAAACATTACATTGTTCCCGAATATTGTGTTAAACTATAGTTAAGAAATAATCATCTTAGCAGAAAATGTTTTTACAAAGTTTACTCGATTAAAAGTTTAGATAGAGTTGTACAGTTTACATTTTAGTCGTATTTTGACCGAAAGCGTTGATAACAATAAATAAGTAATAATAAATAATAATAATCGTGTTCTTATTTAAAAATAATTCCAACTCCAATTATTGAGTTACATCGGTAGAATATGAAAACCGTATTCGTGTCACATGACGTTTAACCGTCGCATTTAATAATTGTTTGGTATTTATGTTGTACTGTTTAATTAGGAATACAAACAAATTATTTGGTCTTATATAAATTATCTTCATTTATTTATATATATATATATAAATATATGATAATCATACATTGGGATCGTTATACACTCGGAACTTGGTTGCTTCTAATTGATACTCAGTAGTTGAGTAAAAACGTTTATTTAGTTTGAAACATTTTTTTTTAACGTTCATGTAAAAATAAATATATAATTTAAGTGGTTTTTTTTAATCGTTGAAAATTAATTGGGATTGTTAACGGTTGATCGATAACGGTCTTATTGCGGATAATTTAATGTTCCAATTCATGTAAACATGTATTACAATTTTCATTCAAGACAACAACCATATCTTCTATTCAGGGTATCTGTTTTTCATTTGTAAAATATTTGATTATTTATTTTATGCATAAGTTTTGAAGTTTATTGAATAATTGAATAAGTATTCACAAAAAAAAAAAAAAAAAAAAAAACAAATAAATAAAAAATAAAAAAAAATACGTAACAAAAAACAGAAGAAGCAAAAGAGAATTGGAGTGGTCGTGTGTATATAAGAGAAAAAAGATGTAAGGGAAAATTTAGAATCTTATCATCATTGCGTCGTTTGCATCGTTTATAACACGTCGGTATAATACGGTCAGGACGATCGGAATGAAAATCGAACGGTTTATTTTAAGTCACATATTTTGTTCGCAGAGATAGAAGTGCCGTCGAGATCCATGGCGATTACCGAAGGACCAGAATACGACCGAAAAGGTATGTTCGAATACAATCGATCATCGGATTGACGTATTGTATTAGAAACGATGGTTTTTAAATCGTGTTTCACGGAACGCCTAGGTTCCGTAAAAGTTTTTAAAAATATAATCTACGAATATATTTAACATTTCTTTGTTTCGTTATAGTTTATTTTAAATAATTGTCAAACTGATGGTGTTTTCTTGCGTTATCCCCGGGGTTTTAAAGTTTATTATTGAACATCGAAGAATAAATATTATATTTTACATACAATTTTTCTGTGTCTTGCTCTAACACATGTAAACAGTAAACAGTAAACAGACAACAACATTTTCTTTTGTTAGAAAATAAGAAATAAATTTTAATCGTAGATTTATCTGGCTTTTTCAAAGTCAAGCTTTCCAACCGCATTATGGACATTTTTTTCAAATGAAATATTTCTTACGCCCATGAAGTTGAAACACCTAATACGACTGATTTAATATGAAACTATCTATGTAATATTTTACAACTTGAATATTTTTTTCTTTAGAATTTGCATAATAATATATTAGTTGTAAAGAAGTAGAAATCTCAAAGTATAGAAAAGTTTCATGATTTTTTTTTATCTCATTGACGGAAAAAATTACTTAACATTTTTAAAAATAAATCGTAAAATTCTTGGTCGGTTATATGTAACGAACATTATGAAATAGTCCTAAATTAGTCCGAAGACGACTCATATGTCATGTTCGAATATCTCTTCTGTCCCGCATGCAATACCACCAAGGTTAGAATATAGTTTTTTTTCATAATTTTTTTTTTATTTTCGTTGAAGGACAAGAGACATTGGGTGGGTAAAAAAAAGGAATGACATGTATTCATGTATTAAAAACGGAGAGGGGTAGGATAACGAATAGTTTAATAACCACTCGATACACACACCCACACACACCCACACACACCCTTTATTCTATATTTTTTTTCTCTTCTTCCGCACAGATTATGGCGTTGAAAACGAAAATAACTACAACGAAGGCGGATCTTCCGAAATTGTTTTCAACTCGTTGCCGACAGATAACAGTTCGCTCAACTCGCACGCAACTCGGTCTTACGGATTCCGGGTCGATTGGCTCATCATTGTATCGGCCGGCTGGTGTTGCGTGGTCGCGATGGTGCAGTCGAGTTGCAGGTGATCGCTGCGACGTGCAACGGGAAACATACGCAGTCAGGGGCGAGGATCAACGAGGATTAGGAGTGTTGACAAATGCCAATCGGAACCGAAACGGACTAGTCATTTTTTTTTTTTACGCCCTCATCTTCATGTGTTTCTTTTTTGTAATTTTTTTAGTAAGAGTATCTCGTAAGAAAAATCATATAACAAATAAAAATCCATCGCGGACATTGAACCGCCAGGATACTTGTATAATAATAATTATTAATATGACACTCGTTTCATAATAACAATAACGGGGGAAAAAAAAAAATCATCGCTTTGATTTATGTTCTAATAATATTATTATGTATGTGTACATCGATATCGATTACCGCAGCAGTGTAGGTAATATTTATGCGAGTTAAATACGTTGTTCTATCGTCATTCATCCGTTTGATTTAGCCCATGTTATTTTATGTTTCGTCCGATAGCACCATTGTATAGTGTTATAACAAGCGTAATATAATTATATTAACAGTATCGATATTATACATACATCTATATGTTTTAAATAGTCTCCGCGCCGAGTCGTTGTACATATATATAACCGTATATTATATTTTAATCGTTTACGTTTAATAAATACATATAATACACACATATTACAATAAATAGACATGTACCTCTTTACGTATGTACGCGAGTGAGCGAGTGCGTGTGCGTGCGTGTGCATGTATTTACGCACTTTGTATTGTATTATTATTGTTTTTACGATTATTATATGACTTGTAATGCGATTTAAAAACACTACTACGGTATGCGTGATTTGTTATTTATGCGCACGTGCGTCTTCGGTCACCACTACTGACCACCATCCTCGGAATTCGGTCTCCTTCCACTCATCCTATCCTAGTACCAATAAGTAGTATTTTTCGTGTCAACCAAACCATGTTAGTACGGTGCTGCGGAGTAGTTCTGTGTTGATCTGTTGTATACTGTTTGATAAGCTAACTGGTTAGGGTGAGAGTGAAGGTAGTGTTACTTTTCAGGTGGTTATCGTCGTCCAAAAAGCAAAATCTTTCCGGTTTCGAACCAATCACTGGCCGTGCATTTACAGACACGGACGCCTTATTCAACTCGGCCACGACGCTTCCACGTACAATTTTTTGTATACATACAAAATACTATATTGTTTTAAGCCAGAACAACGAGGATGCGCATCGATACGTTTATATTTTTTCGGACATTTCAATAATATCCTATGGTCACCTGTATTTAATCATCCCGTTACGACGAAAAACATTGAACAAATTAAGGTAGGTAAAGTTTATCGAAAATAATACACAACATATTACTCTTTGATGGTTGGTAATATATTTTGGTATATTTTCCGGCGTGTACCGATGTACGCGAGAACAACTTCGTGATAAATATTACATATAATGATCAGTTTTAAGAGAAAACTGCGATCGAGAAAAATCAAATAAATAATTTGGTATTGCAGATCATTACGAAATGTTTAAAATAATAATGTTTTTCTATTCTAATAAATTAGGAAATTAATCGCGGACGCGATTGAACGAGAAGGATCGTTCGTGTCGATGAGGATAAACTGTCTCTTAACCCTCTCCTCGCCTTAAAAGAAATATCTTTGTTCAAAAATCAAGTAAGGACAGGATTAAAATAAATAAATAAATAAATAAAATGAATGTCGACCGTTGATTACGTAGCGGAACACACGATCGGAAAGTGAATAATAAGTATAATATTATAAGGACGATCGAAAACACGAATCGAACTGGAACGCGCTTCTCCGTCTCCCCGAGGGACGACGGTATGCATGTATTACTACACGGCGACGTATGATATTCACTCGCACCTGGTGCCGAACGGCTAACCCCACGCGTTGGTTTCTGCAACAGGACGAGGAAGACGTACAAACATATAACGTACAATAAATATAAATATAGACGTTTATACACACGTATCCTTTCCCGTCGACGGCGGGTTTCTTAGAAAATTTATCGATGCTGCCATGCACCCGATTACCGGACCGTACATCTTGTTGCCCCCGTTGGCCGGACGCGCGTACCGCGTTAGCCCCGACGGTGAACAAGACGTGCCGCAACCGCACCTCCGCCGCGCCCTTGCTCGTGCCCGGCCGTCGGAGGAGGGGGGGGGAGGCGGGTTTGGGCGCGATGCGATTTCCCCACGAGAAATGTATTTACCCGCGAACACGGTAACTGCGCGCGCGTATCGGAACGGATTGACCGACCGGTGCACAAACACAACAAAGCGAGCGTCGTGCGGATCAGCGTAATTAGGCAATTCCAGTTGGTAAAAAAATAAAAAATAAAAAAATAGCGCGAAAAAAAAAAAAAGACCGCATAAAAATCACGTGGTCGGTTCGAACGGACGTCCGGTGATTTCTATAACACGCCGTGCGTGTCGCGGTGGGGTCGAAAAATCATCCGTGACCGGTACACACGTGCACAATTTATTATTATCGCTGTTGTTGTAAAGGTTTTCGTGCCTCTACTGTACCCTCTCCGACCCAACGAACCGTCCGTTAGCCCCGATTACGCGCGCGCTCGCGTCCGCGGTTACGCTTCCTCCTCGGCCAACCGTAATCCGTTTCTCGTTTCACTGATCGCCACCCGCGTCCCTGTAGGCGCGTGCGAACGTCCGAAACCGAAACGGTTGATCTGTCCTCCCGTCCTGTCGGTGCCGCACCGATGTTGCCCGTGACGAGCGCGCGACGAAGCGTTTAAAACACCTGTGCACCAATGCGCCCGGGGGAAAACGTTGTGTTCGGATTCCGAACGCGCGCCTCCGAGCGATGAATAATAGGACTTTGCCAAAACCTATTACTGCTCGACCGCGACGACGCAGTGTTTAAAACGATTTATTGTGTACGCGATCGAAATGTTTCGAGCGCGCGTGGCCACCGGTACTAGTAAAAAACGCGTTTGAATTCCTCTTGCGCACGTCGCGAACGACGTGGTGCGATAGGAAGCCGCTGACTCTTAATCTCGGAGTCGTGGGTAGAGCTGATCAGCGCAATCGAACAGTCCGGCAAGCCAAGTAAAATAGCACTTAATTGTTCCGCAGTAGGGTGTCGACGAGCTGGACATTAATAAATGAAATGAGACAGACTCGGGATTTGATGAATTGAAGCTGAATACTGTTCAAATCGATAAAATGAATTTAATAGTGAAATAGTGGTTCGTAATAATCACTTGTCACAAGAGACTCCTTGATTAGTTTATCGGTGGGTGCGCATGCACTAACGCACCAAGATCAAGAGCCCCTTACGCACGCACTGATGGCATATGGGTAGAGGTATGTGTGTGTCTCTGTTATACAGCCACGTTCGACGAGATGGACCTCGAGGGTTTTATCTATTTAATTTTTCATTAGGTTATTGTTGGGTTAGACTTCTATTATTTGAATTGTGTTGTCTGTGCGCGTGTCGAAAGAACCATTATTTATTGGTTTTTACATGTTAGTAGTATATATTATTAAAATCGATTTGTGTAATGTTATACAATCAAATGATGCACATTTGAATCATATACACATTTGAGGTAAATTCACGTGTGTCACACTAGGAGCAATTTCAAAACGATTGAAAACGATTTCGTCAGTTTGTATCCACACCCGTACGAAGTTATGTTAAAAACACGCTGATGTACAAATATAGTATGTATTGTATATGTTAGTACGTTGTGTGTATATTACCGTGGCATATTTTACACCCATCTCGCGATGCGATGAAATTATAAATATTATCTCTTTTATCCCGAAAAACTTACGAAATGCATAAAAAAAAAAACAATGGGTTAACTAAACATTTTCCGATGAAAGAGAACGTTATAACAACACGTCCTTTAACTACTCAGTGCTGCCGAAGGTTAAACTTTAGCGCAGCAAGACACCAAACGATCGTTTCACGCCACTTCGGGCTTTTAAGTTCTTTTAGTTTGAGAAAATACAAAACGTAAAACACCACACAACTCTTGGTATTATACATAAAACAAATACGCACTAACATAATTTCAGTTTAATTGAAGTACGTTTTTTTATTTTTTCGTAACTATCTCCGTGTTTTTGTAAGTTTTAAACGGTTTTTAGATTTATTATAACAAATTGTTATTTATTATTTTTTATTTTTTCATCTTCGAGTAATAAAATTCTTCATTTCCCCTTGAACCGAAATCGTTTGTTTTTCTACCCACCATAAATCATATTTCTAATTTCTAACGGTTTAGAATTATAATCGTATTTAATATTTGGAGTTGAACATTTTAAAAATTAAAATCAATACATTTAATTGGAAAATCGTTTAATGATGCCTTCTGATTATTGATTACACGTACGTATACTCTCTCATTCTCTTTCTCTCTCTTTTTCTACTCAATATAATACATTCCAAACAATTCGTTTTATGTACTGCAGGTACTTTCGCAGAATAAAATATAGTTTACAACTACGCAACTGTAACAAACATTAGCGGGATGAAATAATAATATACAGGTAGGTATAATAGCAAATGTAATTTCAACTTTAACAGTTTCACAAATACGTTGATTGTAAACCTATTATAATCACAGGTTCGTTAAGTTGTACTTCGTCAAATCACTGCGAACATTGACAAAATACATGATTTGATGAATAAGAGTAATTTTAAATGCACTGTTATCGCAAACAATCAAAAATTATCCGTAAACAAACCATTCTCATAGTGGTGCAGTGCTGTGAAACATTATGGTAATATAACTTAACCTCAACCATATTATAGTTCTACAGTATTGAAATTATTAAAAATAAACAGTATTTAATCTCTTAAGTAAAAAAAAAAAGTTTGAAAAAATATTTTACATACGTAACCAAACAGAATTCAATTTTTTTTTTTTTGTATAGTGTACAAAAATTGTCGTTTTACGAACAACTTTGCTCTCGAGTCTGTGCAAATTTAAATTAAATTTTTATTCAAGACATTTATGTAATATCTAATGTTCAAGTCGGTTCTGTAAAGAAAGATCGTTTGACCGGACACCTAAAAAATATTTTATATTCGGCGCTGTAGCACCACCGACTGACCTATGTGTTATAACACTCAATGATAGTGAGTAGGTTTAAGGTTCATCAAACAAATCCTACAAAAAGAATACTAGTGATTGTGTGTTTGTAAGACGAGAAACTAAAATTAATTTAAATGAATATAATATGCCGTTTGAAAATATAATAATATTTTGGAAAAAAAAAAAATAAAATCTGGTATATATCAATAAAATGAGGTAATCATAATATGTTGCAGTGTAATCAATATTATAATACGTACAGTTAAAATAATTAACACCAACGTATTAATGAAAAACACATGGGTCCATTCGTCTCAATAACAATGAAAACATAATAAAGCAATATAGTCCACAGAAGTAGATATTAGACCGGAGAGGCATCGGCAGCCGCAGTCGATCACCTACGATCAACAAAACTGTAGAGTTTATATCTATGTATATGACATAACATGTTATGTCGCCAATGTCGAATCATGAACCATTGTGTCCCCGGGGTTGAAATTTTATAC